TCAAAATCTTTATATTAACTTCTTCCTTGCATTCTCACTGGGAAAAGTTCTCACTTTTGCCCCTAGGCAAATGAAAGCTAGCAAGGATGAAAGCCATGTACACAGAAAGGCAAAAGAATAACAAATCATATTAATATGTAATGGTTAATATCTAGGTAACCATTAGTATTCTTGAATAATCTCAACTGTATACGCCTATGTGATGTGGCTTAGTTTTCAAGTAACCCAGTGTTAGTTAAGGAATTGTGAGCTTCCATAAATGATATAAGTTCATTCAAAATAGCTGCCTTTGGGCCCCAGAGCCAAAGCTGGTTTTCATCTGAAAGCCAGAGATTAGTTTCTGCTACAGGAATAAAGATACAAGTCTTCCAGTTCGAGAAAGGCTCTCTTCATTTTTCAAGATCCTCTCTTCCTGGCCTGGGATCTCACTGCTGTGTCCCCTACAGATGGGCTCTCTGTCCTTAGAGGCAGTATCCTTACAGCACCAAGGCATCTGCTCGATTAGGGAAAACAAAAAAGCATCACACCAGCTGTTCACCATTTGTTGACCCAACATCTAATTGAATGGTCAGAATATATCACTTTTAATTTAGCTGTGCTCATCTTGGTAGAAGTAGTCACAGCTTAGTGGGAAGATGAACAATAGAAATAAAAAATATGTGAAAGGAGGAACTGAATATCAGACAACCTTTGACCTGAGGGGAATTAAGCATGTTTAATTTTAGCAAATTTGGTGAACTCTGAGTAACAGTTGCAAACGACACAGATTATGGAAAATACTTGTTCAGTTTCATTTACTTTGTTTTTGAAGCAGAAACATTCACAAGGAAAACAGCTCCCATATGTTCTCACTTTCAAAATTGTGGAATAATTAGTGCACTTTAACGAGTCAGTAGATCTGCCTTCCATGTGAGCACCATACGGTACAGACAGTAAATTGATAGCTTTCAAGTGTCTTTGGCAAGGCCTGACATGAGATTGGAGTTTGGGTGGGTGGGAGGCTTTGACAATGGGAAATTATTTATTCTTCTTTAATTAAGTGGCTGCATTGCACATGTGCATTGGTTTGTTTTAGATCATAATAAACAGCTCATTACCAAGCCCCTCCATAAATACCCCAAAGAACACAGTGAATGTGTCAGAAGGAAATAAATATTTACCGAATTAACTGACAGTCTTGCTCATGAATATACGCTAACCTCATGTTTGTATGTATTATTTTAAGTTTTTTCAATGCTGCCTAAAATGTCTGCTTTTTGATATGAATCAACTATGTTTTAAATTACCTTCTAAATATTCTTTCTATCATGATCCTTTTCACTGACTGTTTTGGACCTTATCTTATAAGCATAAAGGCTGTCAGAGGTAGAAATTGCCAAGGGTTTTTTTTTTCTTTCTTTTTTTTAATAACAAATGCCTCTATTATTTGTAAGACCCATTTGTCATTGTCTCCAGGTCTCATTTGATACTCCAATTTTGACAGTAGTCGGGCAGGGATCATTTCTCTCATTATACACGAGAATGTTGAGGCTGAGTTACGTCTATTGATTTTTTTTTTCTTTTTTTCCTCACTACACCAGGCATTAAACAGAGACCTTATCCATTGAGCTTACAAACATAAAATGAGCAAGCGTTTGGCATTAGAAATGTGCACAAAAAAAGGAAATCTTATCTGATTTTGGGGTCCAGGAGGGCTTATCTGAGAAAGAAATCTTCAAAATGAGACTAGGAAGGAGCAGAGGTGAGTAGGTGTGGGAGGGTGGGCTGAAGAGGAGGGGTAGTGTCAAAGGCAGTGGAGGTGATCACACGTTCAAAAGACCTGGAGAGCAAGAAAGACTTAACTGAGGAGAGGTGAGGACCAAACTGGGCTAGAAATGAGTGACAGAAAGTTAAGTTGAAGAAATAAGTAGTAAAATGGAAAATAGAAGACTTCAGAATGAACTAGAGAAATATGTGGATATCCTTTCAATGGAATGATGAAGCCTCTAGGGATTATCTGATTTTATCAGGTCTTGAGCTTTTGTCTTTGATTTGGCTATTTTACAACTCTGGGAATATAGACTTTACGTTGTAGAAAACTGATAGCAATGCAAATAGGTTTGCCCAGATAAAAGCAAGAATGCAATTGATTATTGTCCAATGAACAGATAAGTTTTTGCAGTCCAGAGCCAACATTCTTTTACTGTGTGTACATTTTCAATTGTCTTCTCCTCTAGAAAGTTGCAACATCTTATCCACTTCCCTCATTAATTAATGAATTAAAGTCTTAGTCATATATGCATTTTATGTCTCTATATGGAATGTTTTGTTTCCTCCAGCAATTTAGTTCAGGCTTTTTGTGCAAAGTAGGTGGTTCCATGTCAATTTATTCTTCTTTCCTGGTCTTCATGGAACAGATAATAGTTCACTGCACATATACTTACATACTTTGGTACCCTAAAACACTGGGCAGATATTTTTGTATAGTTTGGTAGTTTTGGTTGCCCTCACTGTATTTCTTTGGCCATGTTCTGTTAGCCACACTAATGAGCATTTTTTCTTTCCACTCTCCTTCATCTGACCAGCATGCACACACACTTGCACATGCACATGGATGCACACAAAACACCCACCCCTCCTCCCCCCCACCCCACACAATGATCTTCAAAGGATTGGTGTTCAATGGAGGAGCCTTAGGGGCAGCCAAGGAATCTGGAGTGTTTACATGAATGGGCTTCAGGCCTTTGCCTTGTTAGAGCTGATACCAGTGGCAATTGCAGAAATTTTTACTCAAGGTTGCTGTTGTCATCTATCTTACTCTGTCTGGGCTGCTATAAAAAAATATCTTAGTCTGAGTGATTTGTAAATGGCAGAAATGTATTGCTCAGTTCTGGAGGCCAGAAGCCCAAGATCAAAGGACTAGCAGACTCTGTGTCTACTGAGGACCTGTTCCTCATCAATGGCATCTTCTATGTGTCCTTACATGGCAAAAGGGCAAGACAGCTTCTGGATCCTCTTTTATAGGGATATTAATTCCACATATAGGGGCAGAACCCTTATGACCTAATCATCTCTCAAAGGCACCATCTTCTAATAACATGGCCTTGATGATTATGTTTCAACATATGAATTGGGAGGGTTGGGGACAAACACATTTAGACCATTGCATTAGCCAAAGATTTTCGAAGGAGGTGGGACTTACGCTGGGACTTTAAGGATAAATAAGATTCCTAAATTGAAAAGAGAATACATGGCACAGAAAATCAGAGCAAACAAATAAATAGGTTTCTAGGAGGGGTAGAGGTAATCAAAGCATACTGTACATAAAGTGATTTGAGCTGATCTACCTAGTCATAGCAGATGGCTGTTGTAGACGTGGGGCATGCGACTTAAGGGCCCATGGCCACCTTTTAGGGGAACTTTCTAGAACTGCACAGGGCAATTCATGCATAGCTTCTCCTTTCCAGTCAAACATACACATAGGATGACAGTGAAGCATAATAGCAACTAGAAAATGGAGACTTAGCTAAGAACTAGGATCGTTTTGTTGGTGGCCCTAACACTGAAGACAAAGAGAGAAAGAGATACTGGGAAACAATTAATATTGTTTGACACAGCCCAACTCAGATAATACCTTGTTATTGGACTTGGTTGAGATAATGATGGGAAGATCAGCCTCGCCTTTCTCAGGATGTGGCATTTGGCTTTATCGGTGTAATGAAAAGACCATTATTCCGTGTATACAAAATTAAAGATCTAGGCCGTGGCTATGACACTAAGCAGCAATCACTTAGCCCTACTGAGCCTGAAAGCGTTATTTTTTCTTTATCGGTGAAATGAGGCTCCTTTTCCTTATACCGTAAGATCCTTAAGGCCAAAGATTATAACTCCTTCTGTTGGCCTAGTGATATCTTACATGATGAGATACTAGATACCATGTCACGCCAGTTAGAATGGCGATCATTAAAAAATCTGGAGACAACAGATACTGGAGAGGATGTGGAGAAATAGGAACACTTTTACACTGTTGGTAGGAGTGTAAATTAGTTCAACCATTGTGGAAGACAGTGTGGCGATTCCTCAAGGACCTAGAAATAGAAATTCCATTTGACCCAGCAATCCCATTACTGGGTATATATCCAAAGGATTATAAATCATTCTATTATAAAGACACATCCACATATATGTTCATTGTGGCACTGTTTACAATAGCAAAGACCTGGAACCAACCCAAATGCCCATCGATGATAGACTGGACAGGGAAAATGTGGCACATATACACCATGGAATATTATGCAGCCATCAAAAACGATGAGTTTGTGTCCTTTGTAGGGACATGGATGAACCTGGAAACCATCATTCTCAGCAAAGTGACAGAACAGCGGAAGATCAAACACCGCATGTTCTCACTCATAGGCGGGTGTTGAACAATGAGAACACATGGACACAGGGAGGGGAGCACTACACACTGGGGTCAGTTGGGGGGAAATAGAGGAGGGACGGTGGGGGGTGGGGAGTTGGGGAGAGATAGCATGGGAAGAAATGCCAGATATACGTGAAGGGGAGGAAGGCAGCAAATCACACTGCTACGTGTGTACCTATGCAACAATCTTGCATGTTCTTCACATGTACTCCAAAACCTAAAATGCAATAAAATAAATAAATGAAAAAAAAAGAGAGTAATCTCGATAAAGTCTGGTGGATCAAAATTCTAGAAGAATGGGTAGATGAATGGGCAACCCAGATGTATGCGAACTCTCTCTTTGTTTCATTCTCACTCTCATATGGATGCAGAATTGGGCTTCTCACTGAGTTTCTTAAAAAGGCATCCATTCATATAAAAAGCTCTAATAAGCAAAGCAAATTCTATGAAACAATTTATGAAAGTGTGAAAGGAAGAATTACACCACGTGCTTGACAGCCAATATTTAATAATTCCTAGAGATAAATCTTCAAAGCCATTTTTTGGCTGTACCAGAGTTGTGTTTTCCGTTCTTGCTACTGTTCCCTGCACATCCAGCTTTTCTGGTCCGTCTCCCATCTTTTGGATTCCCTTCCGTTCCCAGCCCATCTTTAGGCCAAAAGAAAGAAACAAAAGCAACAAACCCAGCAAATAAACAATGTAACTTTCTTATAACTAAATAGATCTCTTAGTGGCTTATCTCTTCAAGGTATTATTTTGCCAAGCAAAATTAAGGGCCAAGCCCACAGGGAAACCTTCCTTAAGAAGCAGTGGGACTATACCTATCTTATTTCTGTCACAGCCAAATAAACACAGAGATGAAGATAAAGTAATTGAACAAAGAGCATGGGACACAGAGTTAGCCATTTTTAACAGATGCCATTTACTGATTGATCTTTGTATGCCAGTCTTAATCATCCGAATGTGCTATTATTCTCATGCTGTAGATCCAAAATATGATGGCATCAGAGCAGTTTTGGACTTGTTTGAGATGATAGATGGTATGCAGCATAAATGGAAGTAAGCCCAGAGCCATCTGATTCCAATGCTTTTCCTTGCCTTCCTCAATAGTTTGTTTTGCTGCCTATTCCATGTAGCTTATTCTATTATTAGGCCAACCATCTCTCTGAATGCCTGACTTCCCCAGGTAAAATAATGACATCCCAGCAGCAGCTGATTAGACCTGAGCAGCTGTAGTTCCCCCCAAATTACTTTAACTGTCTTGACTTGAGCTTCTCCAATGATCCCCTACAGGCCCTTGCAATCTGATAACAATTGGAGACTCAGCAAAGTGCTTATCAGCTGCTTCACAATGACAAATGTTTGCTAGCAGAGCAAATAAAAAGGGGTATCTTAGAGAAGGCTCTTTAGGTGGGAATGGCAGATAAAGCACAGTGTTTAGGGGGTATGATTCTAACACCTGGGATAACCAACTGTAATCTGTCAAGAAGAGCAAAATGAGAACTTTTTTGAGGGCGAAGTTTTGCTTTGTTTTCTTAAAATGATCACAGTAAAAGTCTGTCCGGTGGTAGAAGAGGATGAATGCCAAAATCTAGACCACCATTAATATGGTAGCCACCAGCCACATGTAGATACTTAAATTAAAATTAAGTATATGTAATTAAATAAAAGAAAACAATAGAGATGCTCAGTAACACTAGACACATTTCAAGTGCTCAGTAGCCACGTGTTGCTAGCAGCTACCTCATTGGATAACACAAATACAGAAAATTCCAACTGACCATGGTGGCTCACACCTGTAATGCTAGCACTTTCAAAGGCTGAGGCCAGAAGATCACTTGAGCCTAGAAGTCTGAGACCAGCCTGGGCAACATGGTGAGAACCTATCTGTACATAAAATAATAATAATAATAAAGATAAGCCAAACATGGTGACATGCTCCTATGATCCCAGTTACTTGGAAGGCTGAGACAGAAGGATCCCTTGAGCCCAGGAAGTTGAGGCTTCAGTGAACTGTGATTGTGCCACTGCACTCCAGCCTGGGAAACAGTGAGCTATTGCCTGAAAAAAAGCAAGCAAGCAAGCCAGAAAGAGAGAAAGTAGGAAAAAAAAAAAAAAAAAAAAAGAAAATTCCACCAGTGCAGAAAGTTATATTGGATGAAGCTGGTCTGGAGCATAAAGTGTCAAGATTAAAGAAAGCCATCAGTGACAATGCAGAGCTAATTAGCAGAGTCAGCATTTGCAGGACAGTGCTAGGATTGAAACTTCAAGCCTCAGAATTGCTCCAACTCACATATTCATTAAATGAAAATAGCAGTATCTATCCTTTTTAAAAAATTATGGTAAAGCATGCATAATATAAAATTTACCATCTTAACTACTTTTAAGCGTACAGTTCAGTAGTGCTAAGCTTATTCATGTTTGTTGTGCAACCAATCTCCAAAACTATTTCAGCTTGCAAAACTGTGACTCTATATCCCTTAAACAGCAATCCTCATTCCCCTCATCCCCACCCATCCCTGGAAACCACCATTGTACTCTCAGTTTCTACAAATTTGACTATTCTAGATACCTTGTATGAGTAGAATAATACAATATCTGCCCTTTTTGAGACTGGTTTATTTCACCTGAGATAATGTCCTCAAGTTTCATCCATGTTGGAACATGTCAGAATTTCCTTCCTTTACAAGGCTAAATGACAGTCTGTTATTTATATAAATGTTATATATTTTTTATCTCTTTATCATTGATAAACATGCATGGACACTTGGGTTGTTTCAAAAATGCTTCTTGGAACATCAGTATACAAATATCTCTTTAAGATCCTATTTTAATGTGTTCAGATATATAACCAGAAGTATACATTGCTTCATGATACGGCAATTACTTTTATTTTTAATGGTGCTGGGATAACTGGCTAGCCATATACAAAAGATTGAAACTGGACCCCTCCATTATACCATATACAAAAATCAACCCAAGATGGATTGAAGACTTAAATGTTAAATCCCAAACTATAAAAACCATAGAAGACAGCCTAGGCGATACTATTCAGGATATAGGCATGGACAAACATTTCATGACAAAGATGCCAAAACCAATTCCAATAAAAGCAAAAACTGACAAATGGAATCTAATTAAACTAAAGAGATGCACAGCACGAGAAACAACGGAGTAAACAGACAACTGACAGTATGGGAGAAAATTTTTACCAACTATGCATCCAACAAAGGTCTGATATCCAGCATTTATAAGGGACATAAGTAATTGTATGAGAAAAAGCAAACAGCCCCATAAAAAATGTGGGCAAAGGGGCCAGGCACGGTGGCTCACTCCTGTAATCCCAGCACTTTGGGAGGCCGAGGCGGGTGGATCACGAGGTCAAGAGATCGAGACCATCCTGGTCAACATAGTGAAACCCTGTCTCTACTAAAAATACAAAAAATTAGCTGGGCATGGTGGCGCGTGCCTGTAATCCCAGCTACTCAGGAGGCTGAGGCAGGAGAATTGCCTGAACCCAGGAGGCGGAGGTCGCGGTGAGCCGAGATCGCACCATTGCACTCCAGCCTGGGTAACAAGAGCGAAACTCCGCCTCAAAAAAAAAAAAAAATGTGGGCAAAGGGCATGAACAGATACTTTCAAAAGAAGACATACATGTGGCCAACAATCACATGAAAAATACCTCAGTATTGCTGATCACTAGAGAAACGCAAATCAAAACCACAATGAGATATCATCTCACACAGTCAGAATGGCTGTTATTAAAAGGTCAGAAAATAACAGATTCTGGTGAGGTTGTGGAGAAAAAAGAACACTTGTATACTATTGTTGGGAGTGTAGATTTTAAAAAACCTTTTAAGGAACTACCATGCTGTTTTCCACAGTAGCTGCATCATTTTACATTTCCACCAACACTGCACAAGTGTTCCAACTTCCCTGCATCATCACCAACACTTGTCACTTGCTGTATTGTTTCAAATAGTACTCATCCAGAAGGATGTGATATCATCCCATTTTTAAAGGCTACTTTATTTCCAGAGATGTGGACATTATTGTATGGCATTATTAGAGAAAACATTTTGTTTTTGTTTTTTTTTCTACATGTCTGGTTAAAATAAAAACACATTTGTTATAGATAATTGAGAAAATATGGAGATGACTTAAGAAAAGAGTGAAAAATTAGCTTTAGACTTACCTCCTAGGGATAACTGGTGCTACTGTCTTATACATTAAAACTACATAAAAACACATAAAGATACTTTAGTTTTCTAAATGGAAATTATATGCACTGCCTCATAATTTGATTTTTTTATTTAATAATATTTGAGCATTTTTATGTCATTAAACAATTTTAAGTGTTTTATAGTGATTAAGTAGTATGAATCATTTGGATATAACATTTCATTAAATTTACCACTTAGTTTGGGATGTACCATTTTAAAAATTTATTTGCTATTACAATAACATTGTAATCAATTCTTCTAAATATGAATCACTGCATAACCTGGCTAGCCATATATGAAAATTTTCTAGGGCACATTTCTGGAATATATTGGTCACAAGGTTTGGAATACTTTTAAGAAAAGAAATCTTTTCTTATTTAAGAATAATGTAGGCCTGGCACAGTGGCTCAGACCTGTAATCCTAGTACTCTGAGAGGCTGACACAGGTGGATTGTTTGAGCCCAGGATTTTGAGACCAGCCTGGGCAACATGGTGAAACCCTGTCTCTAAAAAAAAGTACAAAACTTAGCCACGTGTCATGGTGTGTGCCTGTAGTCCTAGCACTTGGGAGGCTGAGGTGGGAGGATTGCTTGAGCCTGGAAGGTGGAGGTTGCAGTGAGCTGATAGCATGCCATTGCACTCCAGCCTGGGTGACAGAGGGAGGCCCTGCCTCAAAAATTAAAAAAAATGAGAATAATAAAAAAGAATAATATATAGTGTATACAGAACATTTTTAAAACTCTAATTACATACATCGATGAATTATCCTTATCAGCAAAGCCAATACCTTCTTTTTCCAACAAGTCTTTTCAACAGAAGCTGAATATTGCCAGCTGATTGAGACTAGTTTTTCCAAAAGCAGATAACAAGGTGAGAATTTGTGTGCAAGTGAATTATTGAGTACATCACCAGGGAAGGCAATTGCTATAGTGGGAGAAACAGGATAGGGAAGCTGAGGAAGGGTGTTGCCAGAGTGAAAAATTCCTGCAGGGTAGCTTCAGTCTGGCCTTGCAAGAGACCTCAGGAGTAGGGTAGTCTCATGGTTGCCCTGTCCCATGTCATGGGGCCTGGTTTCCTTATTGCCAGTGATAATCAGTGGTAGTGAGCCCATGGGGAGAGAAAATACAAACTCTCAGACCCTTTTGGCTCTCTGTGCCCTTGGACAAAACTTCAAGAAAAGTTTGTCTATGAAGGTGCAAATACTGGCCCCTGAAAGTCCCTGAGAGGCAAAGGTGGGAGTGGATGGGGCTGGAGGCAGGGCACAGATAAAGTACAAAGAATCGCAAGCCCTATATTGTACATTACACCTATGTACAGGAAGCCTCATCCTGCCCAGAGGAAGTCACCCTGAGTTTTAACACCATAGATCCGTTTTGCCTGTTTTGAACTTTATGTAAATAGAATTATATAGACAATATTGTTTTGTGTCTGCCTTTCCTTACTTATGATGTTTGTGAGACCCGGCCAAGTTGTTGCACATAGCAACAGCACGCAGATTTTCATGGTTGTTTATGATTCCATTCCTTAAATATACCACCATTCATTTGTTCACTTTACTGTTCTTGGACATCTCAGTTGTTTTTGCCTTAGAGATATTATTGGATTTTGCTACTATGAACATTACTGTCCATAAGCTCTCATTTCTGAGGAAAGTGATGGCTGAGTCATAAGCTAGATAGGTCATAATATTTAGTTTTAGTAAGTGTGACTAGAAGCTATTCTCAGAATCGGTTGTATTTATAGATGTGCCTACCAGAAGGTCATGAGAAATTTACTTCTGTCCTCATTATAGGTGGTATTGCCAATCTTAACATTTTAGCCATTTTGGGGGTCACAGAGGAGTCTCTCATTGTGGTTTAATGTGCATTTCCTTAAAAAAGATGTTGAATATCATGCCATATGATTCCTGATTGTTTGGATATTATCTTCTGTGGAGTGCCTACTTGTAACTATAGCTTTTAAACTAGGGTTCTCCGCCCTTTTTTTTTGTAATGACTATTCAAATTTAAATATGTGTGTATATATATATATATACATATATATATATAGCCGATTGTACATTTATTTATATTTATAATGATATAACCAAGTATATATTTGTACACACATATTCTGAATATGAGTCTTTCGTTGTTTATATATATTACAAATATTTTCTACTTTATGACTTACATTTCTATTCTCTTATTGTTTGCCAGAAGTTCCTAATTTTAGTGTAGGCTAGCTGAGCAATGTTTCCTTTCTGGTTAATGCTTTTCATGCCCCTTTGTCTACTCCAAGGTTATAAGAATATTATTCAGTGCTATTTTCTTAAATATTGTTCACCTGAAATGTATTTTTTGTATATAGTATGGAGTAAAGATAAAGTTTCATTTTCTTTCCAAGTGGATATTCACTTGACCCAGTATAATTTATTGGACAAAAGTTCTTTCTGTACTATTCTATAGTTTTTCTTATTCATAAAGCAAAGTTTGCTGCCTGTATGGATCTTCTTTTTCTCTAATTTGTGTATCTTTGTGCCACTAGTACTCTTGCATATACTATATCTTTATAATAACATTTGATATCTCTGGGAGTAATTCCTACAACTTTATTCTTTGATAAGAGAAATAAGCCCTACATAAAGAACAAACAAGTAATAAACCCAACAAACAGAATCCTTTATGTTGTCTAGTCTAAAATTTAAAAACTCAAGTAACAAAAATTACCCTTTGTGTTTTGCCCCCTCACTGCCATCCCCCTTGCCTCTCCAGTGGAAATTCTGTGATCTGTCCAGATATTTATCAACATCCCAATTCAGACAGGAACCTTATCTTGTTTACTGTGACTCTCCTAGTTTTCTAGTCATAGATGGAAATCTGTTCTCAAAAATATATCTTACATTACTTACTGCTTGTATTAGGCCATTTTTGCTTTGCTATAAAGAAATACCTGCCCTGGGTAATTCGTTAAAAAGGAAAAGAGGTCTAATTGGTTTGCAATTCTGTAGGCTGTACAGGAAACATGACGCTGTCATCTGCTTAGCTTCTTGGGAGGCCTCAAGGAGCCTTTACTCAAGGGGGAAGGTGAAGCTGGAGAAGGAACATCACATGGTAAGATCAGGAGCAAGAAAGTGGAGGGGTTGGAGGTTTGTCACACGTGTCAACAAAACCAGATCTCCTAAGAACTCACTCGTTATTGCAAGGATAGCACCAAGGCATGAGGGATTCATCCTCATGACCCAAACACCTCAACCAGGCCCCACCTCAACACTAGTGATAACAGTTCAACATGAGATTTGGCAGGGACATATATTCAAACTCTATTATATCTCTTTCCTTGGTTTAAAAATGTATGTTTGAACCGTTTTTCATGCATCTATTATCAGGCTTTTGAGGTGGATGTCTTGTGAGCTCAGAGCTCCCCTTTGAAATGGATCTTCAAAATAATTCGGAAGTGGACTGTGCTTCTTTTGTGGAAGTAGTATGGGAGAAATGGAATCTTGAGTGGTACTCATGAATAAGGCACAACCTGAGAAAAATTGGTCCATTAAGAACTGAAGTAGTCATTCTTCCTTCTGGCTGGCATGTTCTCTTCATTTCTTTCCACATGCAGATATATTGGTAAACAATGCCATAATATTTTAACATTTCTGTGTTGCAGTCTCATGTTCCCTCTCTCTCTCTCGCTCGCTCTCTCTCAATCTCTCTCACACACACACAGACACACACACACACACACACACACGCACACAGTTGTAATCTTGGCTCCCAAGACAAATGGAAAAGGGCTACCAAGTGCAAATTGAATGCACATATGGTAAGACTCTTTGAGGTCTCCATTTTTAAATTGTTCTTCTTAACTCCCCTCTGCCTCCTAAGCATTCTGCAGCAAAGCTCTATCTCTGAACTATTTACAGTTCAATAAGGTTTTTGCTCTTTTACATGGGAAGAACAGACTGAGTCTGACTATCTGATTTTCTATTTCTGTGGCCCCCATACTCCCTCTTTAAAAAGGATATTTTTCTTTGCATGTGCTCCATTTCAGTCCCTAGACTGTTCTGAATCTTGGAGTTATCAAGATGTCTTTCCCTTGCTCATAGTGTTTGTTAAACTATGATGGGACCCTGCCATATAAAATGCATTAGGAGATAAGGTAGGACCTCATAGGTGGCACCTAGTGACAGTGTTCTCTTCATGGCTCCTTAATCGTGGAAGAGAACACCTGGAAAAATTCATTCTCTTGCCAAATGGGAACAAGGAATATGAAGGAAAATGAGGAATGATGAAATCTGGCTGAGCACAATGGCTCCCACCTATAATCCAGAAATTTGGGAGGCCAAGGTGGAACATACATTGGAGGCCAGTAGTTCAAGACCAGCCTGGGCAACTTCGCAAGAACCCACCTTTACAAAAAATTAAGAGATTTGCTAGGCATGATGACATGAGCCTGTAGTCCTTGCCTGTCAGGAGGCTGAGGCAGAAGGATTGCTTGAGCCCAGGAGTTCCAAGTTATATTTAGCTATAATCACACCACTGCATTCAAACCTGAGTGATAGAGTGAGACTTTCTCTACTTTTTTTTAAAAGAAGAATAATGAATTATTTATTTTGTCCTTTATAGCACGTCTGTGAAAAGTTTCTAAACCTTATTAAGAAACTAGAGAACGCTTCCACAAATGTTTGTGTAACGTTCCCCACGTGAAGATCAAATACTCATGTATTTGAGAAAGGGCAGATCTTTATCTACCCACCAGTACAGGTTTAGAAAATTGTAACTGCTAAAGCATCCAGAGAGTCCAAATAAATGAGTGTCCAAATAAAGCTCAGTCACCTCTGCATTTTTCTAATATATTTAAAACCACCCTTGAACAAAGTACCTGCACCACTGCATTTTCCTTCACTGAGTATAGCAGAATCTCTATGAAATTGTCTGCATCAATATACGAATGAGCCTTTGAAGTATCATCACTAAAGTCTCTGAGCTCTCAAGAGTGCTCATCCTAAAAAGTAACCAGTGGTTGCTCTTCTGTCTTCAATAAATGGACCAAACCCTTCTCCCCAGGATGAGTTGTTTTACTGAAATTGATTTCTTTATTGTTCAGACCTTAATTTTTATTATAACTTTTTATTTCGAGATAGTTTGCCTCACTAGTAGTTACAAAAACAGGACAGAGTTCCTATGTACTTTTCACTGACCTTCCCTCAAATATCAATATTCTAAAATACATAACACATTATTGATAAGGTCTGAAAGTTGTTGCCGTCTCCCTTCCAAAACATGTGTGTGTGTGTGTGTGTGTGTGTGTGTGTGTGTGTGTGTGTGTTTATATATATACTAATACTTAGTATTACAGTATTAAGAGGTGTCACAGTATTAAGAGCCAGGGCCTTTTGAGAAGTGATTAAGTCACGAATGATCCACCTTCATGAATGATATTAGTGGGCTTAGAAAAGAGGTTGAGGGGAGTACCTGGCCTCTTCTACCATGTGCAGGCACAGAAGAACCCATTTATGAGAAACAGGCCCTCACCATACACCGAATCTGCTGGCATCTTGATCTTGGACTTCCCAGCCTCCAGAACTGTGAGCAATAAATTTCTGTTGTTTATATTACCTATTGTAAGGTATTTGTTATAGCAGCCCAAGATGAGTAACACAATTGCCCAAACCAGGAAATTAACATTGGTACAGTAATATTAACTCAAGTGCAAATCTTATTCAGATTTCAATTTTTAAATTTTATTTTTGGTGTATAGGTCTATGAAATTTTATTATATGTGTAGATTCAAGCAATCCTTGCCACAATCTGGATATAGGGTTTTTCCATCACCATAAAGAAACTGTCTCATTGTGAACCTTGATTTTTGAAAACTACAATTGGAAATAGATCACATTTTAGTAAGTTTCTCTGCTTAGAGTAATTTATTCTAAAGTTTTGATGAAAAAGAATTATCAGATTTTAACATGTTTTAGTTTAGCAGAAAGCATTTAGAAGATACTAACATATAAATACGCATAGCTGTGAGAGTTTCGTTCTGATTATTTACTATAAGATTGTAAACAGCTATTACTGCACAATAAAACACACTAAAATTCGGTGGCTGAAATAGCAATCACCGTTTGTTTTGTGATAAATTTGTGATTTGAACAATGAGTATAGCTTATCCACTCCATGCAACATTAAGCTGAGGTGGCTCAACCAGGGCTAGAGGATCAATTTGCAAAATAGCTTAGTCACAGGGCTGGCAAGTTGTTCCTTTCCCAGTGGGCTTCTCTACAGAGGGGCTTGGGCTTCCTCACAGCATGGCAGCTGGGTTTTAAGAATAAGAATAAAAGACAGAAAATAGAAGCTACCAGTTTCTTAATACCTGGGTCTGGCCTTAAGCATAATACCCACCTATTAGTCAGCAAGATTCAGAGGCCAGATTCAAGGATGGAGAACATACACCTCACTCTTTGGTGGGAGCAGTGTCAACAAATTTATGACCAGATTTTAAAACCACCACATTGTTTTTCACATTAAAAAAAAAAAAGAATGCTTGCAGTTCTAAAAATATATTATAAATTTGTTAAAATAAAAATAAAGTTCAGAAATATCTTGGTCTTGAGGTGTATTTGTTTGGAAAGGAGCTTTCAGAAAAACTATTATGATGTATGTGGTGAAACATATGAAATGTGACAAATTTGTATCTGAATATTTTCAGTATATATAGCTGATTTTTAGCAAGAACAGGATGACACTCAAAATGAAATTCTATCTAAAACAAAAAGTTATAAAAATTAAACAATTTTAAACTGGTAATTTTCTTTTCCAGTGAAGTTTTAATTTGGGGCTAATAAGAACAGGCCACAGGCCTAGGAATTATTAAAATGCTTGGTCTTGAGGCTAGGAGCCTTAAAATCTTGCCTCATAGCAAAAACAGTACCTCTTCATACGGTCAACAAGCATATAAAAAAATGCTCAGCATCAATGATCATTAGAAAAATGAAAATCAAAACGACAAGGAGATATCATCTCACCCCAGTTAGAATAGCTATTATTAAAAAGTAAAAAAATGACAGATGTTGGCAATGTTGCAGAGAAAAAGGAACACATATACACTGTTGTTAGGAGTATAAATTAGTTCAGCCACTGTGGAAAGCAGTTTGGTGATTTCTCAAAGAACTTAAAATAGAACTACCATTCAACCCAATAACACCATTGCTGGTATATACCCAAAGGTATATAAATTATTCTACCAAACAGACACATGTACACCTGTGTTCATCACAGCACTATTCATAATAGCAAAGACATAAAATCAACCCATACGCCCATCAATGGTGGACTGAATGAAGAAAACGTGGTACATATACCATGGAATACTACACAGCTATAGAAAAGGATGAAATCATATGCTGAATTTTCAGTAACATGGATGCAACTGGAGGCCATTTTCCTATGCGAATTAATGCAGGAACAGAAAACCAAATATCACATGTTCTCACTTATAAGTGGGGTCCAAACATTGAGTACTCATGAACAGAAACAGTAGAACAATAGACACAGAGACCTACTCGAGAGTGGAGGGTGGAAGGAAGGTGAAGGTAAAAAAACCTATCTTTTGGGTACTATACTTACTACCTGGGTAATGAAATGATTTGAACATCAAACCCCAGTGACACATTTACCCATGTAACAACAGATCTGTGCATGTACCCCATGAACCTAAAAGTTAAAGAAGTATCACCTTTTTCTTTACAAAATATTTCTTTTATTAATCTCAAGTTTTCAAAACATTTTCCCAAACCTAGGGATTGCGTATTTTTTTTAAATATGAAAAATAAGGTAAAAGTCTATTTAATAATAAAGTGGGAAGATTTAACAATTTTTTTGATTTTAAGAAAACAGGCCCTGTGCTTTACACTGTAGATGGCATTATGATTAACACAAAAATAAAAATAAGTTTTGGGAGGCTGAGGTGGAAAGATGGCCCAAAGCCAGGAGTTTGAGACCAGCCTGGGCAACACAATGTGACCCTGCCTCTACAAAAATAAACAACAAAAAAATTTAGCCAGATGTAATGGTACCTACCTATAGTCCCAGCTACTCAGGAGTCAGAAAGAGGAGGATCGCTTGAGTCCAGGAGTTTGAGGCTGCAGTGAGCTATGATGGCAGGACTTCACTTCACCCTGGGCAAGACAGCAACACCCTGTCTCTATAAACAACAATAAAATAAAATAAATTAGAAATTTTCGTACATGGATATTTAATTTTACTTAAGATTTGGGTTTCTGCGCTAAAACTAAGCTAAATAGTAAAATACTTATGTAAATGATCTAACATATGGAACTTGAAATGAGCTATAGCAGTTAAAATATATTATCATTTTCAACATTCACGTCTTATGAAATGCTTCTAGGCATTGGACCCTGGTTACCTGGAAGTTATATGCATCTGTACATAAGTTTGCACTTGTACTTTCTAATCATAGCTTAAGTTTGTAATATTTGACGCCCTTTTCAATTGCTGATATTAAAGAATTTAATTGTATTTTATCTTTATATGTGCTAGTCATATTTTTAATAATACATTTGAATGTTTGATTGGCTTTGTGAAGTTTGAGTGTTTCTAGCATTAAGTTCATGCCTCTGAGAAACAGAGGTCTTAAACTAGGTTTTCTCCAACTAAAATGAGCATAGAAATAATATATTTTTTAAGTCAAACCGTAAGAGCTTGTATTTCTTTCATTTACCTTTACTAATCATATGGAATCTAAGGTACTAGGGATTTTTTTGATTCCTGAGTGGAAAATTTGATATTTTGAGTGGTACTGTGTTAAGATACTACTTAGGGTATTCTCATTGCACCAATACATAAATATATAACCTGATATATTAAAGTGGCAAGAGAATGATAGATGTGAAATAAGTATGTTCCTACATTATCAGAAATTAAATCACAGGAGACAGAATTGCTTTATTCAACCAGGAAGCAAATAAAGATATCTTGTACTTAAAATTAGGTACTAAGTCATTGTAGGTAGTATCAGATAATGATGAAATGAAACTATTGTGCAGAATTTTGAAGACAGAGCTGGTCTGGTAGAGGTATTCTTTTTTTTTCACCATCTTAAGGTAGAGAAGACCCCTCTTTCATAGAGGTTACTATCTAAGTAACCTCTGCTATCTTTGAATTTACCAGTGACAACTGTTGAAATGCCAGCAATCTCAGACTGAAAATCAGCATAATGTCCTGAAGCAATACTATCGATCAGATAAGTACTTGCATCCATAGACAGTGAACAATTATAATTATTTCTAGGAAGGTGATTCTCAAAGCGTGGTCTCTGGATTAGTGGCAGCAGCATCAGGGAATTTATTTATTTATTTATATTTCCAACTCTTATTATAAGTTGAGGAGTACATTTGCAGGACGTGTAGGTTTGTTACATAAACATGTGCCAGAGGGAACAGCACAGCTTATCCCATCACCCAGATATTAAGCCCAGCATCCATTAGCTATTCTTCCTTATGCTCTCCCTCCTTCCACCCTACACCCTCCAAAAGGCACCATTGTGTGTTGTTTCTTGCTATGTGTTCATGTGTTCTCATCATTCAGCTCCTACTTATAAGTGAAAATATGCAGTATTTGATTTTCTGTTCTTGAATTAGTTTGCTGAGGATAATGGCATCCAGCTCCATCCACGTCCCTGCAAAGGACATGATCTTGTTCCTTTTTTTTTTTTTTTTTTGAGATGGAGTCTTGCTCTGTTGCCCAGCCTGGAGTGCAACCTCTGCCTCCCGAGTTCAAGTGATTCTCCTGCCTCAGCCTCCAAAGTAGCTGGGACTACAGGCACCCACTACCATGCCCAGCTAATTTTTGTATTTTTAGTAGATACAGGATTTCACCATATTGGCCAGACTGGTCTTCAACTCCTGATCTTGTGATCCAACTGACTTAGTATCCCAAAGTGCTGGGATTACAGGCATGAGCCACCATGCCCGGCCTATCTTGTTCCCTTTTGTGGGTACTTAGTACTCCATGGTGTATATGTACCACATTTTCTTTTCTAGTCTATCATTGATGGGCATTTAGGTTGGTTCTATGTCTTTGCTATTGTACATAGGGCTGCAATTAACATACACATGCATGTATCTTTATAATAGAATGATTTAGATTCCTTTGGGTGTATACCCAGTAACAGAATTGCTGGGACAAATGGTATTTCTGCCTCTAGGTCTTTGAGGAATTGCCATACTGTCTTCCACAATGGCTGAACTAATTTATACTCCCACCAACAGTGGAAAAGCATTTTTTTCTTCACAGTCTTGACAGTATCTGTTGTTTTTGATTTTGTAGTAATAGCCATTCTGACTAGTGTGAGATGATAGCTCATTGTTTCAGTTTGAATTTCTCTAATGTTCAGTGATGTTGAGCTTTTTTTTGGACGTTGAGCTTTGTTTATTATGTTGAGCTTTTCGCTGGATGCATGTATGTCTTATTTTGAGAAGTGTCTATTCTTGTCCTTTGCCCACTTTTTAATGAGGTTGTTTTTTTCTTGTAAATTTGTTTAAGCTGCTTGTACATTCTGGATATTAGATGTTTGTCAGATAGGTAGATTACAAAAATTCTCTCCCATTTTGTAGGTTGTCTGTTCACTCTGATGATAGTTTCTTTTATGGTGCAGAAGCTCTTTAGTTTAATTAGATCCTATTTATCAATTTTTTCTTTTATTGCTGTTGCTTTTGGAATCTTCATCATGAAATCTTTGCTGGTGTCTATGTCCTGAATGGTATTGCCTAGCTTGTCTTATAGGGTTTTTATAGTTTTGGATTTTACACTTATGTCTTTAATCTATCTTGAGTTGATCTTTGTATACGGTGTAAGGAAGGGGTCCAGTTTCAATATTCCTCATATGGCTAGCCAGTTATCCCAGAACAATTTATTAAGCAGGGAATCCTTTCCCCATTGATTGTTTTTGTCAGGTTTGTGGAAGACCAGATGGTTGTAGGCATGCAGTCTTATTTCTGGGTTCTTTACTCTGTTTCACTGGTCTATGTGTCTGTTCTTATACCAGTGTTATGCTGTTTTGGTTGCTGTATACCTGTAGTATAGGTTGAGGCTGAGTAGTGTGATGCCGCCAGCTTTGTTCTTTTTGCTTAGGATTGTTTTGGCTATACAAGCTCTATTGGCTATACAAGCTCTTTTATGGTTCCATATGAATTTTAAAATAGTTTTTTAAAGAAATAGTGAAGAATGTCAATGGTAGTTTAATGGGAATACAACTGAATTTATAAATTGCTTTGGACCGTTTGGCCGTTTTTATATTGATTCTTCCTATCTATTACCATGGAATGTTTTTCCATTTGTTTCTGTCAGCTCTGATTTCTTTGAGCAGTGGTTTGTAGTTTTCCCTGAAGAGGTCCTTCACTTTCTTTGTCAGCTGTATTCCTAGGTATTTTGTTTCTTTTTTTTTTTTTTTTTGTAGCAATTGTAAATGGGAGTCATTCATGATTTGGCTTTCAGCTTGCCTGTTGTTGGTGTATAGGAATGCTAGTGATTTTTGCACATTAATTTTGTATCCTGAGACTGCTGAATTTGCTTATCAGCTTAGGAAGCTTTTGGGCTGTGTCAATGAGGTTTTCTATATATAGAATCATGCCACCTGTTCTCTTTCTATTCTAATACTCAAATAAAGAGTATTTCTGTTGCCTGATTGCCCTGGCTAGAACTTCCATTACTATGTTGAATATGAATGGTGAGAGAGGACATCTTCATCTTGTGCCAGTTTTCAAGGGGAATGCTTCCAGCTTTTGCCCATTCATTATCATATTGACTATGGGTTTGTCATATATGGCTCTTATTATTTTGAGGTATGTTCTTTCAATATCTAGTTTGCTGAGAGTTTTTAAATAAGAGATGTTTAATTTTATCTAAGGCCTTTTCTGCATCTGTTGAGATAATCATCTTTTTTCTTTAGTTCTGTTTAGTGATGAATCCCATTTATTGATTTGTGTATGTTGAACCACCCTTGCTTCCCAGGGAAGAAGCCTACTTGATTGTGGTATATAAGCTTTGGGATGTGCTGCTGGATTGTTTGCCAATATTTGGTCGAGAATTTTTGAATAGATATTCCTCAGGGATACTGGCCTAAAGTTTTCTTTTGTTGTATCTCTCTCAGGTTTTGGTAACAGGATGATTCTATCTTCATCAAATGAGTTACAAAGAAGTCCCTCTTTTTCAATTATTTTGAATAGTTTCAGTAGAAATCGCACTGGTCTTTGTACTTCCAGTAGAATTCAGGAGTTTTTTGATTGGTAGGGTATGTATTACTGCCTCAATTGTAGAACCCATTATTGATCTATTCAGAGATTCAATTTCTTCCTGCTTCACACTTAGGAGTGTGAATAGATGTTCTAGTTTATGTGCATTGAGGTGTTTATAGTATTCTCTTATGGTTTTTTGTATTTCTGTTGGGTCAATGGTGACATCCCCTTATAATTTCTATTGTGTTTATTTGAATCATCTCTCTTCTTCTTTATTAGTCTAGCTAGTGGTCTATCTATTTTATTAAATTTTTTTCAAAAAAAAAAAAACAACTCCTGTATTCATTGATTTTTTGAAGAGTTTTTTCTGTCCGTATCATTCAGTTCAGCTCTGATCTTGGCTATTTTTTGTCTTCTTCTAGCTTTGGGGTTTGCTTGCTCTTGGTTCTCTAGTTCTTTTAGTTGTATTTAGGTTGTTAAGCTGAGATCTTTCCAATTTTTTGATGAGGGCATTTAGTACTATAAATTTCTCTCTTTATGCTGCTTTAACTGTGTCCCAGGGTTCTGGTATGTTGTATCTTTATTCTCATTAGTTTAAATGAACTTCTTGAGTTCTTCCTTAATTTTGTTATTTATCCAAAAGTCTTTCAGGAGCAGGTGGTTCAACTTCCATGTAGTTGTGTGGTTTTAAGTGAATTTCTTAATCTTGAGTTCTAATTTGATTGTGCTGTAGTAGGAGAGACTGTTTGTTATGGTTTTAGTTCTTTTGCATTTGCTGAGGAATATTTTACTTTCGATTATGTTATCCAGTTTAGAGTAAGTGTTGTGCAGCAATGAGAAGAATGCATATTCTGTTGTTTTGGGGTAGAAAGGTCTGTAGCTATCTATCAGGTCCACTGCATTCATAGTTGAGTTCAGGTCCTGAATACTTTATTAATTTTCTGTCTCAATGATCTGTCTAATATTGTCAGTGGGGTGTTAAAGTATCCCACTACTATTGTGTGGGAGTCTAAGTCTCTTTAAAGGTCTCTAAGAACTTGTGTTATGAATCTGGGTGCTTCTATACTGGGAGCATATATATTTAGAATAGTTAGTTCTTCTTGTTGAATTGAATCCTTTAGCATTGTGTAATGCCTTTCTTTGTCTTTTTTAATTTAAAGTCTGTTTTGTTGGAAACTGGAATTGTAAACTCTGCTTTTTTTTTTTTTTAATTTTCTAGTTAAATTTTCCTCTATCCCTTTATTTTAAGCCTATGTGTGTCTTTGCATATGAGATGGGTCTCGTGAAGATAGCATACAGGTCTTGATTCTTTGTTCATCTTGCCATTCTGTGTCTTTTAATTGGGGCATTTAGCCCATTTACGTTTAAGGAAAGTATTGTTTTGTGTGGATTTGATCCTGTTATCATGATGCTAGCTGGTTATTTCACAGACTTATTTATGTGTTTGCTTCATAATGTCACTGATCTGTGTACTTCAGTATGTTTTTATAGTGGTTAGTAATAGTTTTTCCTTTCCATATTTAGTGCATCTTTCAGGAGCTCTTGCAAGGCAGGCCTGGTGGTGACAAATTCCCTCACCATTTGCTTATCTGAAAAGAATCTTATTTCTCCTTTACTTAAGAAGCCTAGTTTGTCTGGATATGAAATTCTGGATTGTAAATTCTTTTCTTTAGGAATGTTGAACAGTGGCCCCCAAACACTTCTGGCTTACAGAGTTTCCACTGAGAGGTTCACTGTTAGTCTGATGGGATTCCCTTTGCAGGTAATGTGGCCTTTCTCTCTTGGCTGAGCTTAACGTTTTTTTCTTTCATTTCAACCTTAGATAATCTGATGATTATGTGCCTTGGGGATGACCTACTTTTGTAATATCTTACTGGGGTTCTCTGCATTTCCTGAATTTCAGTGTTGGCCTGTCTTTCTTCATTGGGGATGTTCTCCTGAAGTATGTTTTCCAACTTGGTTCCATTTTCCCTGTCTCTTTCAGGTACACCAATCAGTCAGAGGTTCAGCCTCTTTACATAATCCCATACTTTTCAGAGGTTTTATTCATTCCTTTTTATTCTATTTTCCATTATTGTCTGTGTTTCTTAATTCAGAAATCCAGCTTCCCACTTTGAGACTCTTTCCTCTGCTTGATTGTTTCTTCTAATAGTTTTTGCAAATGCATTGTGAAGTTTTAGTAGTGTGTTTTTCAGCTCAAGCAGTTCAGTTATGTTCCTCTATTTACTGGCTATTTTGAATGTCAGCACCCTTATTTTTTATCATGATTCTTAGCCTTTTGAATTTGGTTACAATGTGCTTCTTTAGCTCAGTGAAATTTGTTATTGCCCACCTTCTGAAGCCTTCTTCTGTTTTTTAGCTGTCTTGGCCTCAGCCCCCTTCCAAGTCCTTGCTGGAGCGGTGTTGCCGTCATTTAGAGGAGAAGGGGCACTAGAGCTTTCTGAGTTTTCAGTGTTTTTGCATTGATTCTTTCTCGTCTTTGTGGGCTTATCTACCTTTAATCTTTGAGGTTGCTTGTCTTTGGATGGGATTTTAGTAGTTTTTATTTGTTGTTCTTGTTTTTGTTTTTCTTTTAACAGTTTGGCCACTCTTCCATAGGGCTTCTGTGGTTTGCTGGGGGTTCTCTCCAGACCCTAGTTGCCTCAGTTCTCTCCATACCTGGAGGTATCACCAGTGGAGCCTGCAAAATGGCAAAGATGGCAGGCTGCCCTTTCCTTTGGAAGCTCTATCCCTGAGGGTTGCTGACCTACTGCTGGCCCGAATGTGCCTGTAGGAGGTGGTTGGAGACCTAGTCAGGAGGTACAGGATTAAGGACCCACTTAAAGAAGCAGTCTGGTTGTTTTGGGGTTGAGCAGCTATCCTGTGTTGGGATCCCTTCAGCCCCTGATTGGTCTGGGGTCTATAAGGCCCACAGGCTGGACCAGGTGAGGAGGCCGACTGGCCAAGGTGGCAGCTTACCTTGTCCCTATGGCCCTCTGTCCCAGGGAGAAACTGAAGCTCTGTCAGCTCTGTAGAACATGGGGCAGTGGCCAGAAGCCCTGGCTGGGAGGACCTGGCTGAGATGATCCACCCTGTGAGGAAGAGTGGATTGGGGTCCCACTTAAAGAAGCTACCTGGTCATGTCTCTACAAAGCAACTGTGTTGTGGTGGGGAACTGCCTCTGCCCAAACTCTCCATAGCCTGCAGGCTGGAACGGCTGAGTTGTCCAACCAACCCAGGTGGCAGCCCTCCCCTCCCCTGGCACTCTGTCCCAGGGAGAGATCAGAGCTCTGTCAGTAATAAGAGCCAGCAGGAGTGGCTGGAAGATCCCACCCAGTGAGGAGGAATGGATCCAGGCCCTGCTAATGAGCCAGTCTGATCACATCTGGCAAAGCCTCTGTGTTGCATTGCTAGGGGAGCCTTCCTTTTCTCTTCAAAGCCCACATGTTGGAACGACAGAATTGACCAAACAGCAGAGATGGCACTTGCCCCTCCCCTCAAAGTCTCCGTTTAGTCTCATGCAGTCTTCACCTTGTTGCGGGTAGCTGGCTGGGACTCAAAGCCAGTGGGTCTTATCTTGAGAGGTGCTGTGGAAATGGGGCCTGCAGAATGAGGCTATTTGGCTCTCTGAATTCCACCCCTTCCTAGGGGTATGTGAAGACCTCCTGCCTTGTCTGAGTTGCATATATGTTTGTTGGGGATCCTGGGGATGGTATATGTAATGCTCCTGGGTCTCAGTGCATGCCTGAGCACTATTATGCTAAGACTCCACACAGCTCTGTGTGTTGATCCCAAGGCCCTGGTGGAGTAGGCTCCCGAGGGGATCTCCTAATCTGCAGGTTGCAAAGATCCGTGGGAGAAGTGTGGTTTCTCAGGGTCATACAGCCACTCACTGCTTTCCTTGGGTATGGGTGAGGGTTCTTTGGCTCTGTGTCGCTCTTGGATGGGCTGTTAGCCCACCCTGCTTTTCTTTATTCTCCATGGGTTGTTTCCCTGATCAGTCCCAGTGCAACTACCTGGATATTTCAGTTGAAGTTGTTGTATTCACTCACCCCTTTGTTCCTTTCCATGAGTGCCATGGACTGTAGATGCTTCTAATTGGCCATCTTGGCCCCCTCCAACCAGGGAATTTATTGGAAATGCAAATTATCAGGCACACCCCAAATTTACTGAATCAGAAAATCAGTGAACTAGTCCCAGCTATTTGTTTTAAACAAATCTTCTCGGCAATTCTGATGTGCAATGAGGCCTGAGAGCCATTCTAGAACAATATAATGTGACTGCAAATCTACAACGTAATGTGATGAAACAAAAAGAACTGCCCAAAATTGAACTAATTCAGTAATTATATTTTTGCACCAATATTAAATTGTTATTTTGGAATAATTTTTTCTTATACTTTTGGTAAATTTCAAAGGATATATTTGTTAAGACTCAATATGCTTTGTATAAGAGAAAATAAAATAAAATTTAAGTATGGGTACTGTACTATTAGAATCAGATCAGAAACATAAAAAGCAAAATTATATGTTTACAAAGAAAATTCAGAACACATCTTTATTAGCTTTGCCCAAAGAAATATCCAAGGACATGTGCCCCCCATCATTCTTTTCAGTGTAACCATGAGTTTCCAGGCCAACATTGGAATCTGCAGAAATCCAGCTGGGTCACTGGGGCTATGCAAAGGTATTTTGAGAAACAACCGCTTCACACTCAAATAGACTTTGCCTTGTGAATTTTTTCATTGACCTCTGTGGGATACACATAATTAATTGAATGTTAATGCTGCACTGTGATGCAGGAATCTGTAAAGAAGCCACAGCCACGTCAAAATAGCCACAAAAGCAAAGTGACTCTCACTCTTCTGTGAGCAAAAGTTATCACTTAAATGCTAGAACAAAACCCCACATTTTACCCCAATGGGGAAGCTTTATCCTAGAGGAGAAAATCGAAGTTACCCTTTGTTGCCCACAACTGACTGAATAAACACCACAAGTGAGTCTGAAAAGCTATGTGGGAGCTGGCAAATAGCTCTAGGGCTATTGATGTGAAATGAAAAATTGCTAATTCTGAGATTCCTAGGTCTTTATCTTGTTACCAATTATGTCTACTTTATTGAAGTAATATTTATGAAGTATTTCTGAATAAATCCTGTG